TATTTTTATTTCGCGTGTACAAATGTCTGCCTGCGTGTATGTATGTACGTGTGCTTGATGCCTGCTGAGGCCAGAAGAGGGCATCAGATCCCTTGGAATTGGAGTTGTAAGCTGTCATGTGGTTGCTGGTTACTAAATCCAGGTCTCTGGAAGAGCAGCTGGTGTTCTTAACAGCTGAACCATCTCTCCAGGCCCAGGAAAGTTACTGTTTTTAAATAAATAAGATTATATATATAGAGATCAGACACGCATGTGCAAACATCTTAGTGTCAATTGCATTACAAATGAATTTTTCATATTCAACTGTGTATTTGAAATGGAGAAATGGAGATCTTTTTTAAAGGTTAAAACGTCATTCAATTTTATGTCATATAGGGTTTATACGCAGTACAATATTGTGTAACTGTATTAATTCAACTGCAAACCTAAAAATTTACTGCCAATTTTGAAAGAGATGCATCTTAGCTCTGGAAATTGTTATTGAATACGTCAATGCTGTTGTAATGAAATGCTACTTCTAATTCTGTGGTTATTAAATAAATGATTTAATAAAATATATTTTAAATGTGCTCAGGCATAGTTGGGCATGCCTGTAATCTCAGCCCTCAAATCCTGAGTCAATAGAATTGGGAGTTTGAGCTAACCTGGTCTACAGAGTGAGAAGCTAGCTCAAAAAAAAAGTCAAAAACATTGGCGGACAGCAGAAAAATAAAGGTCTGTATTTAAAAAAAAAAAAAAAAGAAGCAGAGTCTTAGTCCACATTCCAGAGCCAGTGAATCAGTTCTGCAACTGCAGGTCAGAAACAGTTGTGAAGTTCCTTAGCGGGTGATCAACATGGAGCAGCTGGGTAGCACGGAGTTAGCCTATCAAGTTTCTTATGGCAGAAGAGCTAATGGAACTCACTTGAGGGATTTATAGAGGATCAAAGACAGTGTGACTATAAGACAGCAGAAAGTTGAAACTGAAAAATTAGTAGTAAACATTTCCTTCATCCTGAAAACATCCCAAGACCCGTGACAAGAAAAAGATCCAGCTGACATACTTTAAAATGGTGGTGTTGATTGTTACTGTATACAGTTGCCCATAATGATAATACATTAATAAGACACTTATAGGGGCTGTTTTCCTAGCAACTCTCCTATCATGTATCTATCAATCATCTATCTATCTATCTCTATCATCTATCATCTATCTATCTATCTATCATCTATCATCTATCATCTATCATCTATCTATCATCTATCTATCTATCTATCTATCATCTATCTATCTATCTATCTATCTATCTATCTATCATCTTATCATCTATCATCATCTCTCACTTCTCTCTCTGTATCTCCTATCTATCTATCATCTATCTATCTATCTATCTATCTCTATCATCTAATCTATCTATCTATCTCTATCATCTATCATCTATCTATCTATTATCTATCTATCATCTCTATCATCTATCTATCTATCTATCTATCTATCTATCTATCATCTATCTATCTATGTATCTATCTATTGATCGATCTATCGATCTATCTACCTACCTACCTATCTATCAATCATCTATCATCACGAAGACTAAGATTACAATCACTAAGACTCTGAAGATAGAAATTCTCCAGGCACGACCAGGATAAGAGTCAGTTCTGCCACGTGCTGTATACTTTCTTTCCAGATGCCTCTCAGAGGAAATGGCTCTTCTGGCTTCCTGTTTAAGGTCTCCCTCTCCCCCTCCCTTGGCAGCCATCATGTTATCCTCTTACCTCTTGGGGTTGTTGGTACTGAGAAGCCACGAGAAGGAAAGCCCGCTGAGCCTGGAAAGCGCCATGGACCATTTCCGCCTGTGAACAGAAAGGAAAGCAGTAAGTCATGTCAACGTTTGAGCTCCTAAACAAATACCAAGCATATCACTCCTCCGTTCCATCCCAGGGGTGACTATAACCAAGAAATATACAAACATATATTCATACAAAAAATTGTAAATGAATAATCATATCAATATTATTCATAGAAACTACCAAATGTCCATCAACTGATAAATGGATTAAAAAAAAATGTCCCTTAGCCATGTGATGGTGTGTCACTCAGCCTTAGAAACAAAGCACTGCTACAGGCTAGGCAGAGGCAAAGCTTGAAAACATTATGCTGAGTGACTGGAGCCAGTCACAAAAGAACACACTCATATGATCTCATTTATAAGAACTGTCCAGAATAAGCAGGTCTATAGAGACAGAAAGTGGATTGCTGGGTGCCAGGGCCTGGAGGGAGGGGGAACAGAGAGGGAACTGCTGATGGCCAGAGGATTTCTTTTGTGGCTGATGGAAACGTTCTACAATTAGGGTTGGGGAGATGACTTAGTCGGTAAAGTGCTTGCTGTGGAAGCAGAAAGACCTGACTTCAGTCTCCAGAACCCATGTAAAAGCTGGACATGATGGTACATGTTTGCAATCCCAGAGCTGGGGAGGCGGAGACAGGCAGATCCTTTGAGTTCATGGGCCAGGCAGCCTAGCCTACTTGGTAGGCTCCAGGCCAAGAGAGACGGGACGGTTCCTGAGGAGCAACACCAAAGTTGACCTTTGGCCTGTATAGGCACTTGCACCCACGTGAGCACCCATCAACATACAAACTAGCACACACACACACACACACACACACACACACACACACATACACACAAAGAGGGAGAGAGATGGAGAGAGAGAGAGAGAGAGAGAGAGAGAGAGAGAGAGAGAGATGTTCTCTTAAATGTTCTCCAGGTTGTAACAGTTTCACAACTTGCCAAGTAGTATACTAAAAAGCACAGAGAGACCCTGTTTCAAAAAGATTAAAAGACGTGTGGACATTAGAATATATGGATTACATCTCAACAAGCTGTTTAGAAAGTTTGATTCACAGCCAGGTGTGGTGGCATACAGCTTTAATCCTAGCACTCAGGAGATAGAGGCAGGTGGATATCTGTGAGTTTGAGGCCAGCCTGATCTATGTAGCAAGTTCCAGACTAGCCAAGTCTACATAGTGAGACCCTGTTTCAAAATTTAAAAAAAAAGTGGCCCTCAAAGTGTCTCTCTCTCCCGTCCCTTTTCTATGTACACCCAAACCTATTATATACCTTCTAGTAGAAAGCGAATTGTCCCTTAAGCCAGCCTCATGAATCCAGTGGCTCTGTCAGTACTCATTAAGATGGATCTGGAGAAGATCTTTCAGTGCCAGTGGGCCCTGGTAAGAGTGGGTTCCTGAACTCACCCACAAAGAAAAAAAAAAAAAAGATGTGTGCAGACAGGAATGTCCTTGAGCCCATGCCCTCTTTTTCAAATCCTATATTCATAATTAACTAATTCTAATTAAGAATAACAAGAAAAATCATTTCAAACAGCTTTACCCACATTTAACCACAGTTGGCTATTTGACATATTATCAGTGTTTTAAGAAAATTCACATTGTTGTTTTAATGAGTTAAAGCATACTAATACGAACCATTTTTTTTGTGTGTGGTGCTGTATATGTATGTGGACAGGGCCATGTGCACATGTGTGTGAGGCCTGAGGTCAATGCTGGTGTCTTTCTTACGTTGCCCTCTACCTTTACTTTGAAACAGGGTATCTCAATGAACCTGAAGCTCATTCATTAATTTGGCTAGGGTGGCTGGTCAATGAGCTTCAGGGATCTGTCTCTAGCCCCCAAGGCTGAGGTTACAGGCATATGCACCATACCCAGCTTTTTGCGTGGGTGCTGGAGATCCAAACTCAGTTCCTCGTGTTTGCACAGCAGGCACTTTACTGGTTGAACCATCTCCCTAGATTTGGGACCATTTTTTAAAAAATGCAGAATGTGCTGGGCATGGTGGCACATGCTTTTAATCCCAGCACTTGGGAGGCAGAGGCAGGCGGATCTTTGTGAGTTCAAGGCCAGCCTGGTCTACATAGTGAGTTCCAGGACAGCTGGGGCTACAGGGAGACCCTGTCTCAAAAAAGTAAAAAAAAAAAAAAAAAAAAAAAGCAGAATGTTTCAAACACTGAAGTTTTATAAACACACCTGACAACCTCTACCTGAGTCATCTCCCCAGCCCCCAGCCCAATTTTCTGAGAGCATTTCTCTAGATCATTGTCTCTCCTGGAGGAAACCCACTTCTTCTGGTTTGATATCCGAAGAATTGCTTCTTCAGCCCTGAGGTTCAATAGCTTAACTCAGCTCTGTTTGCATCGTGAGCATTCTGTATTGTATTTCTTAGAAGAGATTTCGTTCTTTTTTCATTTCCAGGACATTTCCTCACTGTGTCTTTCAAGTCTTCTCTTCTGTTTGTGAGTCTTTACCCAGGGATTCCAATCATCATCCTCACATTATATAATATTCTAATATCTTCATAGCTTCTAGACTCTCTGTCATTAATTTCCTGGTTTATCATCTGGGTTCACTGGGATCACATGAGTGGTTTTTTTTTTTTTTTCTATTGACAATAGATAAAATTTCACCAGGTCACATATATTCCCATCAAATTCTTAGAGTATAAATCATGCTCTGATTAAGCCAACATGAGGCATCTGTTTCTGCGCTCTAAGTTTATGTGCTATAGTTTGGATCTGGACCATCACCTTGGACCCATGTCTTAAGGCCTGGTCCTTAACTAGAAGGGTTATTGGGAAATCCTGAAACATTTAAGTTGTGGGGCTTAGTGGGAGGTTTTTGGTTTACTGGGGGTGTACCCTTGAAACCCCAGTCTCTTCTAGCTGATATTTCTACCAGATACTTCTGTTGGGATGAGCTATCTTGCCTCGTGACCAAAAGCAATGGGGTCAGCTGACTGAGATCTCTTAAACCAGGAGGCAGAATAAACCTTTCACCCATTTAAATTGATTATGTGAGGTATTTTGTTACAGTGATGGAAACTGACACAAAAAGTGGGGCTGTGCTTTTCTACTACGCATGCTGTGTTCTGTTCAGACACTGTCTGTAATCACCACCAAAACTTTGATTTTACTCAATTTTGATACTTAAAATTTTCTCATACAACATGAATGTTTCCTTCAGAGTCCTGTAGCCATATTAGAGGAGATTGGCATGACTTTGAGAACAAAATACTTTATGACCTATCTTTTTTCCTAGGGCCGGAGGTGTTATAGTTCAGGATAGAAACATCTCTCACAGGCTCCTGTGTCTGAAAATTTTTCCCTGCCAGTGGTGCTGTTTTGGGAGGTGTTGAGCCCTTTGTGGGGGTAGTAGATATGGGGATTAGCTAGAGAAAATGGGTCCTTGCTGGGCTGCTTGAGGCTCTAGTCCGACTTCACTTTCAGTCCTGTCTCTGCTTCCTGGTCTACAGAGATGGGAGCAAGCAGTTTTCTGATTTCCCCACCAGGCTGGACCGTGTCCTGAAACAGTTAGCCAAAATAAATCCTCCCTTCTTTAAGTGGCTGCTTGTCGTATATTTGGTCACAGTAATGAGAAATGTAATGAATTCAGGATGGAATGGGGACAGAGAAGGAAGTGCTGAGTGGAGGTGGTATCTAGACTTGAGTTTTTCCAGGGTGGCTCCCCCTGGGAATTCAGTCAATAACCCAAACCAGGATTTGGTCCACCTACTTGGGACACAGGCCATTTTGATGGAGTGGTTCCCTTCTGTTTTGGATAATTTCTCCCAAGCAGAACCTAGACAAAAAACATTTACCTCTACGGAGGGAAGCGGCCTTAGTGGGAATCAGGAAAGGGTATGATGAAAGAAGCAAAGAAATCCGTCACTAACATGACAGAGCAAGGCTTGCAAATGTTCAAATGAGTGCAAATTTTTCTCACAGCCATTCCGTGGCATACTGCTGCCTTGTGCCTTTGTCCTGGTTGTCTGACTGCTGGGACCACATTCTTAAAAATCTCACATTTTGGGGCTGGAAAGATGGATTAGTGGTTAAGAGAGTGTGCTGCTCTTGCAGAGGATCCAGGTTCTGTCCCCAGCACCCATTACTGGGTGGCTCTCAACTGCCTGTAGCTCCAGCTCCAGGGGACCCAACACCTTTACCTGTCTCCTCAGGCATTTGCACTCGGTGCACATATCCACACACAGACCCAAGTGTATATACATAAGTAAAAAATAAAACAAATCTTTAAAAAAGTAACCCACATTTCAAATCTCTCTTGGAAAGGGTAGAATTCTGAAATCTGACTGTTCTGGAAGCCATTATGACTCATGAGCTGTGATGCTTTTTCACGTATCAATATATATTCAGTGCTTCAAGAAGGACTTCTGTTGGTCTCTAATGATCACATTTTTCAAAAAGACTACCAAGTACAACTTTCTGCTGCTTGGATATGAATAAAATAATTGCACTTCTCTCCAAGACGAGGTTATAGAGGTACCATCTATGACAAGCAGTCTGCTGACTTCCAGTTGCCATGGGAACAGTGATTCAGGACAGAATGAGTTCGACAGTTGAAATGGCAGCTCAGAGGTGGCGTTAACAATATTTTTGTAGTCATCCCATGATGAACACAGTCATTAGTCTTTTTTACTTCTCTTAGTAACAACATCAAGCCTGCTGCTAATGAAGCGCTTTTCTGGCAGGTCTGACTAGGGAAGATGGGCAATTTTATTAATTAGTCTCTTCCTGCAAATGGCCTTTTACTCCACAATAGGGGCTGAGGTTGGTGTGGGGAAGGCTTAGCACCTAGATATCTGCTTCTTATCTCTCAGTCTGCTTATTTTGAAGTCTTCCTGGGGATTTGAGGTCCCCTTCTCCCCTCAACTCCCTGGCATGCTGGGTATAATTAGCAAACTGTAATCCATATTCCTTTGGAACCCCATTGGTTCACATGTCCTTTCATGGCAACTTTGAGATACTCTGACCCATTTATTTCT